AAAAAAGATATTTACAGATGATGACCGTTGTAAGGGTGACGTTGCAGGTGTGGCGTTGGGCGTTGACGAAACATAGAGGTGCGGAGGTGGATGCGAGTTATTGGGTGGGTTAGACAGATACGTAACGATTACCTACCCGGGGTAGATAAGGGTCCCCGGGGGGATACCCCGAAGTTACGCCACTCAGCGGCATAACAGCAAGAGTGGCCACTGGGTATAAAAGAGGTTAGCGTCTACAGATGCTCTTGGTGTCAAGTTGGCTGTCAAAGGCGGAGGAGAACTGTCAAGGGACATAACCCAGATATTACAACGGCCTGTGATCTGAACTCTAAGAGAAGTCCTCTGAAACAGGTAAATTTATGATAATTTTTCGTTTAATTGCTCTTATATTTAAACACGTTGCGAATTATCTTCTTTTTTTTCAAAACTTTAAATTCAAAGTTTTACGTCATACTGTCATTTAGGGTATTAAATAACACCAATAAAACAGGAATAATATGTGAGGCAGCGTGGTGGAATCAGGCTCTCGTCAGTTTTTGGGCATGTAGAATTATTTGTATCATCTTAAAGCTTGTTCATTTGTCTTTATTTGGATGATAAAAATGTCCATTTATCTTGAATACAAGTCAAGATATTTGCGAATGAAGGAGGTGGGGGTCATCTGTTTTCAGAGGTAAAATTAGTGAGAAAATGGCCGCCAAAGATTAGTTATTTCCTAAGCTTAAGAGTCCGTGGAAATTGACAAATTACATTTTTTGTGCCTTTAATCAACGTTTTTCAGAAAAATCCACACAGAAATGAGTTTTTTAATGGGCATGAAAGGTGTTGAGCCAAAAAACAAAAATTTGATAAAAATTCACAAACCTGCGGAAAAATGCAAGTTTCTTCACTTTGGTTATTTTGACGAGAGCCTGATTTCACCACGCTGCCTCACATAATATTGCTGATGCGTTTTCGTTGTCCATTGTTGTTGTTTGTTTTTGTTTTGTTTGTTTTTTTGTTTTTTGTTTTTTTGCTGTTGGTTTTTTTGCTTTTTTTTTTTTTTAATGGGAGGGAATGCAAAACCGGATCTTCGGTTTACAGATAAGCGCATAAAGGAGCTGGACACACAAAATTTTTTTTAAATAGATGTAAAAGATCCCAAATAGCAAAACAATCAGTAGGGAGATAGGCTTCTATAGGTAAGCCAGGTGACAATTAATATCACTTGATAATAAACTAAGTCGTTCATTTTTCAAATTAATAATTACTTAATATGCACCCCGCACATCTGAGTGACAAATACAACTTCATATTAAATTGTTTGTTTGCTATTTGAATAAAAGATTATTACTTCAACGTGCGCATATTATGGTATTTCTATGGACACTGGATCGAAACATTTCTAGTTTTTTAAAACTTTTATCATTGTGTAGTGACAGTTTAAAAAAAAATTTAAGCTTGCCCTCGCTTTTCACATGTGAATGGCCATCTTGAAAAGGTAGAAATGGATATATTGATCGACAGACAGACAGACAGACAGACAGACAGACAGACAGACAGACAGACAGACAAACAGACAGACAGAAAGACAGACAGAAAGACAGACAGACAG